GGGGGACCCGGGGCAAGCCCCCCCGGGCCTCGCCGGAGCCGCAGGACCCCCGCGCGGCTCAGGGGACCCGGGGGCAAGGCTCTCCGGGCCTCACCCGAGCCGCAGCGCTCACACGGGGCTCGTGGGACCCGGGGGCGGGGCTTGCCACCACGCATGCTAGCGGAGCGGCACTCCTGAGGGCTCCGGCCCGAAAAGACCCCTGGATGGAACATTATTTTTGATGCTTGGGGGGCAACAGTGGGAGGGATTCTGGAGTTGTGGACCTCCTGATGGCACCTGGGGTTTGGCACAGAGTATTGGACTGGATGGCCCATTGGCCTGACCCAACATGGCTTTTCTTATGTTCTTAGGTGCTTCTATTAGGTCTGTATTGTTCGAGTGTTACACTGGGATTATCCTCTTAGGCTATTCATTCTAGCCTCACAGTTAATCCCACATCACACTTAATTTTGTGGTCCCTTTTTTGACATGCAAAAACAATCTTTTCCCTCTCCCCCCTAGTGTTATAGCCACAGTAAACACTGTGTTAATAGAACAAAGAATTCACTTGGTATTACAAATTATGAACTCTTAATTTAACGCTGGAAACAACAGCAGAGTCTTTTTTAAAAAGCACCATGTCTAAAATCTTATTGTTCTGGACTGGGAGTCCATTTTCAATATACCAGAATATTTGGCAGCCAATCTGTACTACTAAATCCCAACCATCATGAATGTTAAGAAACCAAGTATTAATTATTCACTAAAACACTGTCACCACTTACTGTGGCCTCAGGCCAGGGGCATGCCACATAGCAGCAGCACCCTCCCTTATTCCTCCTAGGCCACTTCTTACACTTGATGGGTACTATATTGAACAGTGGGTCCAACTCCCAGTTTAACCCTTAGATCTCTGTGCCTTCCCACTGTACATGTCACCAACAGTGTTCCCTCTAAACTGAGTTAGTGTGAGCTAGCTCACAGGTTTTTAGCCTCCGGCTCACACATCTTTGTCTTAGCTCAGGAAGGAGGGCTCCAGAGGAAACTAATTTATGCAATAGCCAAATTGCTCATTCAGAACTTTAATGCCAGTAGCTCACAAAGTACAATTTTGCTCATAAGACTCCACAGCTTAGAAGGAGCACTAGTCACCACCTCTGCCACCAGTCCTGTTTAGCCCCTGCCCCTTGCTCCAATGTACCCAAGCCCTTTTAACTTTGAGTTCTCAGCCCCAGCAATTAAGCCCTCCTTAGGGTCCCACGTGTCCAGGCTTGCCAGTCCTTCTGAAGCCACCCTTACACCTGCAGTTATTTTATTTATTTTATTTATTTATTTATATCCTGCCCTCCCCTGCAAGCAGGCTCACAGCGGGTCACAGGATATCAGTTGAACACATAGTATATTAAAACATTAAGAACAAACAACAATTTAAACAAAGCAACAATAAAATGACATAGCCAAGTTCAGTCAGATCACAAGATGGCAATTATTCAGACAGTTCATGGTGCCACCTGGAAGATGCTAGATTGGATGGTGATTAATAGCAACCTATTTACCAGTAATGCTCTGTTGACCTCTAAGTGGGCGAGTCACAATGGGCACTATAAGCACTGCAAAGCAGCACAAACTGTGCAAGCAGAGCGAGCAGGGGAGGCCGAGATGGATCAGACACCTGCTGCCTCAGCCAAAGGCCTGGTGGAATAGCTCTGTTTTACAGGCCCAGAGGAACTGTAGTAAGTCCTGCAGGGCCCTGATCTCAAGTAGGAGTATGTTCCACCAGGCCAGGGCCAGGACAGAAAAGGCCCTGGCCCTTGTCGAGGCTAAATGGATGTTTTTTGGGCAAGGGACTACCAGGAGGTGTTGCTCAGCTGTGCGTGAAGCCCCTTGGTCCTACCACAGCTGTCTTGCAGGATCTGCATTCTAGGGAAATTCTGTCCTCTTCAGGTTGCTTGTCATCAATGCTGCCCTGAACAATGTTGCAGCCACCCTGCTATGTCTTTGGCAGGTTGTGGGGCTCACACTTCGTCCCTGCTGCCTCTGGCTGCTCCTGGCTCACCCCAGCCTCCTCCCAAGCCTCCATGGTTGCCACACTTCCCTCCCTGGCAGTAGCTTGTGTCTCTCCAGCCACAGCCTGCTCTCCAGCTGCAGCTCCCACTCCCCTCCCATCAGTCCCCGTGCCAGCTTTTAAGTCCCTTGGCCGGCTGACCTGCTTCCACCTTCCTGGCAGTGGTGGCGCACCTTCTCTGGCATGGTTGGTGGGTTTTTTTTACTGAGCCGCAGGAGGCTTCCAGCTACAGATAGGAGTGCCGGTTGATTGGCTATAAACACTTTAAAAAAAAACCTTTAACGTGTAATGAAATTTCCCCTGACCAAGACTCTCCGTAGTACTAACTACAGAAACACTTACTCCCATGGTATGACAACACCAGAATCGTCACTTTAATCCCTATTGGGAGAAAGGCAGAATAAATGTTTTAAAATAAATGTTGAAAAAAGCATTTGACCATCTGGAATTGAGCTTTTTAATTAGGAACACACGTGTGTATAAGTAAAGCATGAATTACAAGCCCTTTTGGGGAGATGGGGGGAAATCAAACCCTGCTTTCATCAACTGCATTACTTTCTGCTATTCATAATATTTCTATTTAAATACGAGATTATTTCTGGTACCTGATAACTGGCACATCTATATCCCATGTCCTCATGTATGGCTGTGCATAGACTTGCTGTTCAAGACAAAGCGACACTCAGTGCAGCTTCAAAGAATAAGAGTAAGACATTCCAACACCAGATTTTTCGATGTGAAAAGAAGACTAATGAGATTTCTTTTTAAGTTGGGCTGAACCATGGCATGTCTCCTACAGAGAAGAAAATGAAAGAGAATGAGGAATCACTCCAATGCTATACTTTCAATAACTGTCACAATACAGCAGTTTCGATTGGCTTTAATTAGGAAAAAAGGAAGCCTTTTGCAGAGAAATGTGCAAGATCAGCCTCACACTCAGTCTCTATGACCTCCACACAATCACTGTCTTAGATATATATATATATATATAACCTGACTCTGAAGAATGTATCTACCTAGGAGATTTTTGTGCTGCCCCTCAAGAGTCCTGTTAACACAGCAACTGTTTCCATATTCTAAAACATGTACCCATTCTGGAGAACATGATACTTCTAGGAAGTCAGTCATTGTGCATGCTCTCTTAAGAATCCAGGATATGTCTAAAAGGCAACAATTCCAAATTAAGCTATTGTGGTGAATTTATTAATGGTATTGATAAAATAAAAACTGATGGCAAATCTGAAGCCTTATATATCCCAGGCCTGCAGGGCCTTCTCACTAAAAGTTACACACCCTTGATGCCAAGGTAATAACTGCAAATATTCATGCAAAAACCATTACAACTTCTTAGAAGCAGGTGCAAGTAATTCTTTTTTTACTTATCACATTCTACAAAGTAAAATTTTAAAATGGCTTCCTTTTAAAAATATATTTAGATGAAGCCACGTCTGAAGGGAAACTTTTCACCCAAGCTACGACAAACGTATGAGAAATTTAAAGCTACTGAGAACACAATAGTATAAAGAGAAAACAATCAAATGTAGCTTGAATTAACTCATTTTCAGTTGTCAGATGGAAAGCTAGTACCCTGTTGCAGCTGGAAGGATATTGGTAAAGCTTGCACACATCTGTATAGGTTTTGAAAATATTAAGAACTAAAGCTTTACTAAAAAGAACACTTCAGCCACTAGGAAGAAAAACATTCCATAGGTTTATAAAATGTTTACTAACTTTCACAAGAGAATAGGAATTGTAAAACCGGTACCACTAAAGATGATGCTTCATATTCTTGTACACAAGTTCCATTGCTAGTTAGGACAGACTTCTGCGAGTGCGTATGGCACTTCCTGGTTTCACAGCCAACAATGAAAAACCTACTAAACTTATTCACTTGTTGCTTTTCTGAATAGAAGCCCTTACGTTTTTCTGTAGATCACTCTACACTGTTCACATGCTAACAGGATCTGAACACTAACCTTGTTTCACAATCAGCATTAAAAGTGAAGTCTTTGGATTAGAAACACTTACCATACTGCACCAAGTAAAACAAAACAAAGGTTGAGTTTCAGAGAATCCTTTCAATGAATAAACTTTGTCCCCATCGAGGCTGAGAGGTGTAACATTTGTGCACATTTACTCTGGCCCCAGAAGTTGGGAAGTTTCTGTCCAACTCAGCAAGGTGGGAGGGTTTGTTATTTAACTACTGGTTGATAAGGTCTTATCGCTAAGTACTCAAAGGTTGAGTTCAACAGAGAGAGGGAGGGAGAGACCAAAGAACACAGGGGAAGCCAAGGAATCTATTTTCATTTCCTTGTGAGTGAGCTTTCATGAGTTTTCAGGTCTTTCTTTTCCATCACAAAGCCCTTCAACTCCAAGTGTCTTTATAAGAATAGCTAGCCTTCCCTTAGCCCCATCACCCATGGCCTAAGTATCGCTACACAGCAGGGTAAGTTCTCACTGAAGATCTGAGCTGAAGTGTTAACCCCACCATGAAGGTATATAGTGACGTTCCAAGATACGTATTTATAAACATACCAGAGTAGTGGAGGGCAGCCTTTAGAGGAGAGTCAGTTTGGTGTAATGGTTAAGAGCGGCAGACTCTAATCTGGAGAACCAGGCTTGATCCCCCATTCCACATGCAGCCAGCTGGGTGACCTTGGGTCAGACACAGTTCTCTCAGACCCACCTATCTCACAGGGTGTCTGTTGTGGGGAGAGGAAGGGGATTGTAAGCGGCTCTGAGACTCCGAGTGAAGGGTGGGGTATAAATCCAACTCTTCTTCTTCTTTAGGCCTCTGGAAGCTACTTTCCCCCCCAAAGAGCACTACGAACTGCCAGTCACAAAATGGCAGCTTGGCAGACAAACAACTTTTCTGCATACTTGACTCACTCCTGATTTTCTTGGCAGTTGATCCACAAGCACTGGAATTGGTTTGGGCATAGTCCTTCCACACATCTGCCTTCCCTCTTTGTGCACTCTTCATTTCCAAAGTTGTGGAATCAGTTTATTTTCCTCAGCAGGCCTGCCCTGAGCAGCTCTGGGAGAGGTGGCAAGGGAGGGGAGGTCAGTGCAACTTAGGCTAGCAGCTGACAGTGGCGGGGGGGGGGGGGGGGGAGAGGGAGGGAAGCTTGGTGGGCCCACCTAGAGTAACTCCAGGCAAGGAAGGGGAGGGGGCAAGGAAGCCTTGGTGAGGATGGGAAGGCAGACAGAAAGACAGAGTGCTGGTGTGGGGAGGTAAAAAGATTTATGGGGCAGAGAGGCAGAAAGAGACAGAAAGTGTGATGGGTGGTAGAGAGAGAGTATGTGGAGGTGGGGAGCAGAGAGAGAGAGAGAGAGAGACGGGGCAGCAGGTAGAAAGAGAGAGAGAAAGCACAATTGACTCAAGACAAGAAAGCAGCAGCCAGAACATCTGGCCATTGGTCTTGTCTCCTTCTCTTTTGCCCCTTGCACTGTGGTCACCTCTCATCTTCTTCCCTTCTCACCCCTCTCACTGCGGTCAGTTTCTCAGGAGAAGAAAACTGCATGATGCTGATGTTGCTTTGTTGCCCTGAGCAAGCATGGGCGCTTGACTATGGACAAAGAAATAACTACAGCAGTATGCTGCTTTCTCACTCTGAGAAAGCAATCTTAACAGGCAGAAGGTAAAGAGCAACCAGCATGTGGCTGGCAAGCAACTGGTCAATTATGAGTGACAGTCTGCCCATCCCCTGCTCCAAGGCATGAATAACCTAATTTGCATGCACAGCTTTTTAAAAAAACTGCACCATAACAGCAAGAAAAAGTGTTTATAAGGTCTCAATACTTCTCTTAGGTCAAATCAACTTCAGATCCAATTAATAAAGATCAAAAGACTAGAAGCTGAGCCTCTTCCCTACCCTTGGCCACTTTAGGTAGGGCCCTTACCCAAGGAGCCTAAGTACCAAGAGCTTCTGGACAGATTTAATGTGCCTTCATTCAGTTTAATTATAAAGAAACGTTGCAGGCTGCTTTTCAACCCTATGATCCCTCCAAGTCTTCAATCTGCAGTGTCAACAATTCTTCCTGCTTAGCTATTATCCAGCTCACTTTCTTGTGTTTTAGTAGCACCTTATGAATCTCAATGTGGTTTGTATCCTATGGTCAGTTTTTGACGATGGGAAGACACTTCCATTAGCTGAAATCTTCCAGTTTCCTCCTACTCCCAAATGCAAACTCCCACTTTGCCACCAGGGTTGTTTCTAAGAGTCCCCTGAACCACTACAAAGTTTTGAAGGGGGGCTCAAGAGGCTGTTGTAGGAGACAGGAAAGTCCTGTTTCGTGAGCTCTGTTTCACAGAAGACTATACAGCATTCAAATCATATTTCAATTTATCAGTTTGCGCACAATATTTGGCATTTCAATCTCTGACCTATTTATAAAAACCAATTTGCTTAATTCAGAAATTTCCCCAATTATTTCTAATCTAACTGTAGATGTAGCAGCCCCCTTTTATCAGACCTATAGCTTGCTGTGACAGAGCAGCCTCTGCTAGGCCCCAAGGACCCATCCCCAACCCATCCCCGGCATTTCCCACCCCCTTCCCTCCAAGCCCGCGCTACTGCGCGGGGCCCTCCTAAGTCCTCCCCGGCCTTCCCCCCTTCTTGCAGGCCTGCGCGGTAGCGCGGGGCCCTGCACAGCCCTCCCCAGCCCAAAACTCGCCATCGCCGGTCCGTGCCTCTGTGCACGGGCCGCTGGACGGCTGCCCACCCACCCCGCACTTTCTTTTCCTCCTCCTTTCTCTCTCTCTCTTCCTCCTTTCTTTCTTTCCTTTTCTTTC